AACAAGCCCAGCCCGTTTCTAGATAACAATCCCACAGGAGTGACAATCCCAAAACCAAAACCTCAATCCTAGAAGAGTTAGAGCCTGAGAGGGGGGCAGGAGAGTGAGAGCGAGCCCAAGAGACCCTCATTAATATAATGAACACATTATATAATTTGGAATATCCCACTGGCATATCTAAATGCCAGTTTGGTTTGCTAATTTTAATATTCCCCCCCTAGTCCTTTACACCTGCAGACCAGCAAAACACAGGGAAGTTGAAAAGTTCCTTTGTCTTGCAGTGACAACTGGAAACACTATTATGTTATCAACATTCTTCTCATAACACATCCCACACTGCAACCAAAACTCAGCACTATTCTAGCTACTAAGAAGAAAACCAGCTCTGTCCCAGCCAAAACCAGGAATTACAACACAAACACTGGACAACAAGCCCTGAAAACTGAAAGCAGCACAACCCACCAAGGCAGACACACAGGTCTGAGCTAACAGACCCACAACTGCTCGCTGGGTTTGATTTGGCTTTGACAGACAGAGCAACAGGAGGATCAATCCCCTGCTGAAACACCTTCGCTTATCACCAAACATCCCCACCTGAGCAGCCTGCAGACAGGTCCTGCCGCAGCCTCTTTCCACACCAGGCTGTAACGCTTTGAAATAAAGGACTGACAAGTATTTCTTGCCAGAGCAGCACCTGCTAAGCACCACATGGAGAAACCCCCTTCGTGGAGGACACCTTGCTGGTGGAACTGTATGTGTTAAATCTTGAAGCTGCTGCGAGCAGCCAGCCATCACTTTTCCCCTCCTCACAGCCAACCACTCGCAACTGGGGAAGCCTACAGTGAATTTGCAGCCAGCACTACAAACCCAGAGGATTCATCTTTGTTGTGTAGTTACCTTCTGCAAAGGCCTGATGCTGGAAAGCACAGAGCTGGGTTAAGGCTGAGGCTGGCCTGTTCTCTGGGGCAAACTGCACCTTCACAGGGAACAGCTCTCAGTAGATGGAAGGAAAGGTATTGCATAACAGCATCTCCTACAGTCTCTGCTGCAGTGGGTCTCAAACACCTCTTTACTGCTCTTACCAATGCTCCAGGAAGAAACAGAATGAATGAGCTAAAAAGCCCAGCAGAAAACTGATGTTAAGTTTGGTATGTGACTGAGATAAGGAAATAAATACACCCAGATCTCCACCAACACTGCTTGCTTCTGACCTTTTGCAGAAGATAAGGTGGAACAAGGTCCTCTACCTCCCCAAATCCAGCCTCCTGCTGCTGCTGTGGTAACCTGGCATGAAAGCCAAGCAAGTTTCACAAAGAGCTGCCAAGCAGTTCATGCCCAGAAACTCTCTCTCAGCTGTCCAAGATTATTTCATCTCTTCATAGCTAAGGGTAGATAAGATTTCCAACAGGAAACCCGCTTAAGAGCAAACCCACCTTTTTCCAGATTTATCTAAATATTACTTTTATCAGAAACCACAAAGAATAGCCAAAGCAATTCTTAAGAGTTCTGAAGTACAGCCAGAGGCTTGGCTGCCTTGTCTTTTCCTGCCTTGCTTGGCAAAGGCAAATTACTGATTTAGGCCACACGGTGGAGTGAGGCAGAACTGCAGCCTGGCTCTTCCACAGGGATTTCTGCATTTCGAGGTGAACAGCTCAGAAGAAACACAACAGGAGAGAAATGTACTTTGGGACTAAGTCCCCTCAACCTGGGGACCTCCCAGAATCCAGCTGAGCTTCCCACACAGCCTCCAAGGACCCACCATAAGCAAGAAGGAAAGCTACACTCACCCCACGCTGCCTGAGAGTTGTTACTTACACTGATTGCATTTTGGGGAGGTCTGGGACTTCCTCCTTTTTCTTGCGGAAGAAAAACCAGTAAGTAAAAAGGCCAGTGATGAGTGAGAAGAGAAACACGTCTGTCATGCTGAAGAGAGAGTCTTGCTGTGTCGTGCTGTCAGAAGGGGAGATAGTCGCTTCCATGCTGGCATCCCCCATGGTGATCAGAGGCACTGGAAGCAAAGAAAAAATGAACAAGAGCAGTCACTAAGTGCCACAGAAGAGCATTAAGGGCTGCTCAGAGCATGCTTTTCCACTCTACATTTACTCCTAGGAGCACAAGGCAGCCCAACAACTCTTTGGAGAGAGAATCTGCACCACAATACTATGAGCTCCAGCAAAACTCAACAGGGACTCATGGCCAGCCTTTACCGAAGCCACTACTCACCACAGAGCCCATGGGGTGTCAGTGGGGGAAGATCCCACTCTTCCAGTCACCCCACAGATCTGGGGCTTTCTCCCTCCTTTCCTCAAGGTGACACGATGCCCTGGACCTACTGCTGTGCTCATAAACTGCAGAGCTGGACTGTGGCATCCGTGAGCATCCCCACATTAGGTTGTTACACCACAAATGATGAACGCTTCTGATTTACTATTCACTTCCATGTGCAGATTGGATTTACTGTCCACCTCTTTTTGGGCCTCTGGCTTTCCAGTCCCCTCTACTCTCTCACCCAATTTAACTTCCACCTCCTTGAATTACTCCTTTCATCTTGCCAAGGCAGAGTTTCAAGTGACTTGTGGCTTTTTCCTGGGCCTTTTTCTCTGAGGTAGCACAAGGACTAGCCCCCAGCCCTTCAGTCCCCGACTACCCTCTGGCCCCTGTCCCTGGGCAGCCACTTGTCACTCCCTCCCTCCCTCCTGCTGCTCTGCCAAAGCTCTGAACTTCTCTGACCCTAGTCCAGATCACAAGATTATCTTCCCAATGCACAAGGACGCACTCTGTCCAAGCAAACAGATAATTAACTCAAAACTTGATTCATAAGGGCAAAGGGACTCTCTTTTTGTACTTGGGCATCCTTCCAACCCAGGAGACCATGGACATTTGAACTTGCACATAGAAAAGTGACTCAGAGCTGTGAGAGAAAGGACATGTCCCATGGCTGAACCATGCGTGAGGGGTGAGTTAGCCTGTTCAGCAAACCTGTGCCTGCTGGAGAAAAGCTCCCAGACAGCTTTCCTGAAAAGGAAAAGGGCTGGAAGAGAAGCAGCAAACTCCGATTTGTGCCAATAAAACTGACTGAAGTTGAAGGTTATGCCGATACATTCAAGGAGCTGGGAAGAAAAGTGAAGGTGATGCTTAGGAAACACTAACGAGGGAGACCAGTTCTTGTTCAGCAAACAAGAACTCCTTGTTGTTACGCCACCAAACAAAAGTCCAGCTCCAGAGAACACAAAATACTCTGCCATGGGCCACTAGCTATAGAAGACAGCCCAGTGAAGCGCAGGGAAAAGTCCACAGCCACCTGGCAGTGATCATGGGTGGGCTCCCGGGTGTTTTTGCAGCTCTCAGCCCCACAAGAAGTTTAATTGAGCAAAGAATTTGGCAAGTGAAGGGCAAGTACTATGAAGGGCACTAAAACACCACTGCAAAGCTTCCCATTAGGTTCCCAAAGATGACACTAAGCAAGGGGGTGGAAGAAAAATGTTAGTGATGCGACTGCAGACAAGCAAATTGCCCATTTCTCTCCATCAGGCAGGTCAGCCTGTCCTCCCTCCCTTGCAGACAGGCTTTCCATCACTGCATCTCGGAGCCAAGAGAAAGCTGGGTGTTATTTCTGTACAACTGTAGACTAAACTGTTAAGTTAAAGCCTCTACAACCAGAGCTTAGCTGCCAACACACAGCTCCCAGCAGGGTTCTCCTCCTCCTCCCTGTTGGGTTCCAGTAAAGTAGTGAGAAGTGGGTCCAGCAACTGACACCAAGGGAATGCACTGGTGTGGGGGGGGGGAAAACGTTGCTGGTTTATTACCTTCACAAGTACTTTCCCATCACACATAAGGCAGTGACAAACCTTTGCTCAGAGGAAGCCATAAAAAAACCCCAAGGCTGATGGACGCCACGCTAAACTGGTTTTGAGCAGGAGCTGCACACCCCTTCCCCTCTGAGGGCCAAATCCAGCACCTGCAGCAGCCAAGTCCTAGGAAAGCCTCCTTCCACAGAGCACAACAACAGCCCTGGTTACACACCACACGTGGAGAAGAGTTTCAAGCTAGACACGTCCTCAGTGAGCTGCAGCCAGCCCAGGGTGGAACACACACGGGCTGCCTACGCCTGGCCACACAGCAATTCCCCTCCCAGCTCCAGAGACCTCAGACGTGGATATCTGCCAGCTGCCCTTACACAGGGTGAGAGAATGAGTTCCTGGGCTAATCAGCAAGGTGAGGGCTACGTCAGCAACAATTCACTGCCATGCCCAAAGCAGCAGAGCTTCTGGCCTCCCAGAGCAGAGGGGACAAGTGGCAGCAGCAGTGGCAGGAGCAGGGGGAGGGGGCAGGGGCGGGGGC